TATTCAAGCCGCCTAAACAGCACCTCTGATGACTGTTGTGAGGTCAAGCGTGGGTGGCGCTTCCCTCCTGCTCATGTGCCCTCAGTAGCTCCCCACTAGCCAAAGCAGTATTTTCCCAAATACAGTTTGTGGGTATCCCTAAGAACTGAGGGTGATTTCTCACTTTTTGTCTGTCTGGCAAGTGCACGTGCCCTATACAGCAAAAATCTCCCTAACAACAAAACAAAAGATTTTCTTTAGACTTTTAATGTGTATATATAGCTATGTAAGAATTATATTGCAGTTATTTCCATGTTTACATTTCGTAGTGCTAAATATTTATTCATCCTGATTTGGCAGTTTCTTGGTCAAGTTTTGGAGATAAAATTCATTTCAGTTCTGAGACATTTTTGTGGACCTTTGAAAAGCAGAAAGGACCTGGACATTGTTCAGTTAATACTTGATAGAGCCAAACCGTCCCGACTGGAGCCTAAAATACAAGTTTTATTTTTAAAAAATTTGCCAGAAGGGGGTCCAGCAGGTGGCATGGTGGTTAAGGGTGCTGGACTCCCACACAACCGACCATGGTTTGAGTCCTGAACCTGGTGGCTTGCTTTCTTTTTCCCCTTTTTCTCTCCCTCGCTCTGTCCCTCTCTGGGCAAATTTAAATAAAAATAAATGAATAAATAAATAGAGTTAAATAATTATTTTTAAAAATTATTTAACTTTATTTATTAATTAATCTATTTCAATTTGACCAGAGAGGGAAAAAGTGAGAGAGAGAGAGAGAGAGAGCAAGCGAGCGAGCAAGAGCTGCCAGGTCCAGGACTCAAACTGCAGTCAGCCACGTGGGAGTCCAGCACCCTTAACTGTCAAGCCAACTGCTGGCCCCTTAAGTAATTCTTAAAAAACAATTTTTTTTTTCCAGAAGGTATGTGCATTCACTGGAGAGAAAGACAGAGGGAAAGTGGGAATGGCCATGCCATAGTCCCTTCTCCCTCTCTCCTTCCTTTTGGGATTTGGGGCACATACACATGTGCCTGGTATGTTTGTTAAGCTGCTGGGTCTGAGACTTGAACAGCACTCTTCAGATCTCACACTGCAGGCCACGTGAAGAAACCCTTAACTACCACACCACTGGCTGGCCCAGAATCTGAATTTTTAAAAATAATTATTTAATTTTATTTATCATTATTTAAAAATTTGTTTCAGGGCACATATGCTCACCAGAGAGAGAGAGAGAGAAAATGAGAAAGAAGCCACCCAGGTCTGGGACCCAAAAGGCAGTTGGCCACCTGAAAATCCAGCACCTTAACCACACCAGACTTTTGGAGTTGGTTTCTCAGATGCTGGTAGCCAGATTCTTACCCTAGACCACTTCCTATTCAAACCACCTTACACATAGCACTTCCAATTATTGATGGAATTTTTAACAAGACTTTAAGGACAGTGCATTTTATGAATATGTGAACTAGAAGGAATTAAGAATATGCTAGTGAAGAAATTACTAAAGCCTTGCTTGTATTATATGCTAATTTTGAAATCAGCCCTGTTGCCTAGTGGTTAAAGGAATTGGGTCCCACGTGGCTGACCCTGTATCAAGTCCTAGACTTCGTGGCTTGAAAGACACCCCAGGTGCAGGTGGGTATGTGCCCACAATTCTGAAAGGAGGGGGAAATGAAGGAATTATGGGGTGACCATTCCCCATGGTGAGGTGCTTTCTTCCTTTTCCTCTCTCTCAGTCTCTGGTGAGCATGCACACACTCTGGTAAAATTAAAAAAAAAAAAAATTAGTCAAGGAACTCAATTAGTCTTGCCAACAGTAAACTTTTTATATTAATGCCACAAGGGGGCACCATCGAGCACAGTCATTCTAAGGCTAATTGGCTGCATGTTCCATTCTCCAAATTTGCGTTTCCTTGACTGTTCATAAAGTTTCAGCAATTTGAAGAGGACTTAAAGACGTTTTTCTACTCTTATGCAGCTTTAGCTCATTGGTCTTCACTTTGTCTTTCTAACACTATTTTAAGAAATTTCACTATGTCCCTTTGTATCTCTGTTGCAGAGGGTGGGAGTGGGGGAAAGCAGTGTTGGGGGTCTGGGAGTGAGAAAAAGGGACTCCAGCTGGGGGACCTTCTGCACCACAATACCATAATTGACCCTTCATGGTGATTTTTTTTTTTTTTTTTTACTTTAGCCAGAGGTCACATGCACTCACCAGAGACAGAGACAGAAAGCACTTCTCTGCCAGGGGACATGATCATGCCACAATCCCTTACCCATTTCTCCATCCTGTTGGGATTTTGGGCAGGCATGCATGGCTTTCAAGCTGCTGGGGCAGGGGTTGAAACCATGGTTGGCCACATGGAATCCCACTTCCTTAACCACTAGACCACTGGGCTTGTCCTCTTTTCCATGTCATCATTGTCTTAGCTTGTTACTCAGCCCCCTTCATCTCTCCCACTGACTTTCTACACTCTGTTCTCCACCTACCTGCTAAGGTACATTGCCTGCTGATTCTGTTCTACAAGGGCTGAACCCCGTTAAATGAAGGAGCTGACGTAAATACTCAGGCACTTCGCCTGACACAGTAGGAGCCAGTACTGTAATTTCTGGTGCACACGGGGGCCCTCGTTCCAGTCAAATAGCCCCACCACAGGTTCCTCATACACATCCTGTGCCCTCTCACCTCTGGCTCCCACTTGTTTTTCTGCCTAGAATGCCCAGATTCAGATACTTCATGATGCCTTCCTGGCCCCCCTCAGTTTGGGATGAGGGTGAAAAAGGTCTCCCAATCATCCAAGATCTTGTAGCATTCTATGGCCAAGCCAGTAGCAGCGTGGCTTCTTTGTTCAAGTCAGGGTTGTAGTCTGCCTGACTCAACTTCAGCATGCCTCCCGGTCCCCAGCATTCATTTCTGTAAAACGAGTGATTTGAATTTCAAACGCACAGCTCACCTGGTACAACAAACAGTAGAGGGACTGAGTCCTGAGTTCTAGGTGAGGCTCTACCACTTTTAAGACCTTGAAAATTTCTACTTCTTGTTTTAACCATCAAATAGAAATTATTATGCTTTCTTCATTATTTTAGCCCTGAGATAACACCAGTCACAATGGTTATACTTAACACATAATTTTGGTTGGTGTCACTTTTATTTTTGGCTACATGGCACATGTACTCTTCAGAGACAGGCAAAGTGAGAAATCGTACCTCCCCCCCCCATCATGGATAGCCATGCTGCAATTTCTTCTTGTCTCTCGGGATTATGATGCACGAATGTGCACATAGGCACACACACCCCCACTTGTTTTTCAGGTTGCCAGGTCAGGGACTCAAACCCTGGTGAGCCATGTGGAATCCAGCACCTTAACCTCTATATTACTTGCTGTCCCAAGACAGCTGATTTAGCATACACATTGCTATTTTAACTCACAATAATCCCATCCCAGAGAATTGAAGATCCCTTGGGAAGCATGAGATACTTAACAGCCTAGCATAGGACCTGTCCTTTATTCTTTTTAAGATTTACTTTAACCAAAAAAAAAAAAAAAAAAAAAGGAAAAAGAAAAAAAGAATTACTTTTAACCTTTAATTGGACCAGAGAGGGACAGAGAAAAAGCAAGCCACCAGGTCTGTCACTCAAACTGAGGTCAGCCATGTGGGTTTGGCCCTTAACCACCATGCTATCTGCTGGCCCCAGGACATGTTGACCTACAGCACAAGGGAATCTTCTTGTTGCCTCATACCATCTGAGATCTTCTGTGGGCTTCTCCAGGTTTAAGTTCTTCTCAAAAACTGTCCATTTTAGGCAAATGATCTAAATGGGTCACTAATATTTTGAATAATGCCACGGTGTTTGGAGCCAAGAACTAAATTTATTTGGTAATTAGCTCTGTTGAATATTCTAACAGTACAAGCCCCTGCTTTGGGGATTATAAGTCATCTTTGTTTCTGGGATCAGCAGATAGTGTAATGGCTACATTGTTGGACTCCCGTTGACTGTGGTTCGAGTCCTGGACCCAGTGGCTTGAACTCCAGCCAGGCCCATGTGGGTACATGCCCAAAATCCCGAAAAGAGAATGGAAAAGGGATTTCGGCATGGTGATTTCTGGCTTTCTCTTTCTGGTGAGCACATGCACCCTTACAGCAAAAGTCTCTCCAAAAAAAAAAAAAATTGTTTCAGGGTAGTTACCACTGGCTCAGCCTTTTACCAGCTTTCAACCCACTTGGTTCCAGGGTGATTTCCCATCTGACCTTTAGTTACACGGGCTGAGAATACTAAATACCTACATCCATGTGTTTAGTCAGTATTCTGCCTTTTTAATAACATTAATGGATCCAGACTTTGGTATTCTCATTTATTCATTATCCTTTCTCGGGAGATTCCCAGTATGACATTCCAGCTGAACTGCTTTTGGTCACTGAACCTGTTTAATACTGCAGCAGCCACTGGCTAGAAAAAGCACCCCTTATGTACCTTCTCTAGGAGCTGTAAGCCCACAGACTGTTCTTTTCTAACTGCCCTTCTGTCTCTCTACCCAGCCCCCCTCCTGCTGAGAGGCTGCGGGTGAAGACAGCCTTCACAGCACACCTTTTGTGGTTCATTCACATACACAAGACTGAATCAATATAAAGTAGAACCTGCAAGTCAAGTGTTTCTGAAAACAAGTTTTTATTTAAATAAGGGTTTAAATACATTACATAACATTAAAACTGAAGGAAAAAACCCAAACCCAGTTTGTTACTTCACATGGCATTGGGCAGCTGCTGCTAGTTAAGTTGCAAGCTCTAGAGCTAGCTACATGACCGAGACATCAGTTGGAAACGTGTTCCCTTGTCAAAAGTTTAACTGTGGCAGAAGGTTGGCCTCACATTGTGGTGTTTGGACATCCTTTTATCTAGAATACATCTGGTCAGAGACCACGATGGCATGTCAGGTGTCCTGTCATCTCACTAGAGGGAAGGTGGCCTCTCTAAGCTCTGTTCGCCTGGTCACGTTGAAGACGCCAGGTGATCGTTTACGAGTGGTACAGCTGCCACTGCGGCTTACCCATCCTGTCCTGTCAGGTGCACGGAGGGCTGTTCAGGTGATGACATTCTCTAGGGTGGGGGACACGGCAGAGGGAGCGCCGAGGAGCTTCTGGCCAGACATAGCTGTCTGTGGTCTTGGGGCTCTGAACTTGGCTGAAACATCACGTTATTGCTCTGTTTCAGGCTGGACACTGCCAGGCGCCTACTCCTTGACCTCTGTTTAAATGAGGGACTTCCAGACTAGACAGCATGGCTCTTTTCGGTTTATTGCATGAAGGAGTTACACTAGTCCAAGTTAAAAGCGGACCCCAAATGGTTACATTATACAAGCTGTGAGGTTTGTAAACTTGTGACAAGGGACAGAAAGGGAATTCTACTCATTGCAAGGAAATCCTCACTTAAGCTTCAGTGAGCCACAAGCACTTAAAACCCATGAACCTTCAGCTGATCGTCCTTAGCCAGTCCAATCTGCAAAGAGAAAAGGGCAGAGTTTTAAAGGACGGTCAGGGAGCTACAGCCTTCACTTCTGATGGCAACAATGCTGTTTTCCTGCTACTACACGGGACAAGAGAAACCCACGAACCAAGAAACTCCTTAATTCCTGTGAGTACAACAGGAACTAACTTTCTTGAAAATTCCGTCTTCCAAGGTTCTCAATCAGGGTGTATCAAGATAGGAATTGGGCATCTGAAACTCTTCAATTATATCAAGAACAGTGGATCTAATAGCTGTTTAGTACTTAGCAAACACTTTTAACCACATGGCCTTTGAATCCAACCCTATATCTGCCTTACTTTAGTATGTGTCTGTGTGTAATTTTCATTTATATAAGCAAACTAGATCTTGCTCTTATAAACCCAAGGCAAACAAGTCCCTTCTAATCATAAAAACATTTGTCTCTACATCTCAAAGCTCATGTGTTGTTGCTGTTTGGCCTTAACAAAATTCCACACCCTGGCAGCAATCCGATTAGGTGGAGTGGATATTTGCCAGTGAAGACACTAGAGGACGAAGGGGCTGCACTCACCTCTACAAGGAACTGGCATATGTTCTTGCGCTGGTCACCCTGGAGCTGAATTACTTCTCCATATTCTGGATGCTCAATTACAGTACCATTGCAGGCAAATTTCTGAAAAGGAAGCAAAAATGAGGTCAAGCAATAGCACTGATGCATTTAACCGGCTCTTCCGGCCAATAACACAACAGTTAGCACCCCCTGGTGGACGAACTGAATGCCATTTCCTCAAGATCTCATTAACGACCTACCTTCTTAAACGCCTTCACTAGTTTCTTTTTATCGTAATCATCAGCGATCCCTTGGACAGTAGTAAGGGTCTTCCTGCCGTTTCTCTGTTGAATTCTTATATGGATATAATCCTCAGTGCCAGCAGGAAGCAGGTCATCACCCTTACTTGCATCAGCAAAGGGGTCTGGAAAGAAAGGTTATGTTCGTTCAGAGGTTCAGTGGCTTAGAGGCCACTGCCACAGTCCCACTGGGTCTCCTGCGCGTGCAGAAAATAATACCGAAATTGTCAAGCTTGGGTGAGGTCGGATGTGTCCTTTGGTGGCTCTCCACGAACAGGTCAGTCCAAGACAGCCGGCCTCCCCAGGCAGAGAGAAAGCCCGGGCCCTCCTACCCTAGGCCCTCCCTCCCTCGGAAGCCGATCACGTGTCGAGGAGCTGTAGCTGGCAGGAGGCGCCCCACCCGGCTGATGCAACCGACCGGAACCCGAGCTCCCGAGGCGGGGCCAAGCCTCCCACTTCCATTGGCGTGCGCATTTGTCACTTTGGAGTGGCACCGCCTTTCCCTCCCGGCGCCGTGACAACGACGGATGACGTATCGGACGTGACGCAGGGGTGGCGGGAGGGGGCGGGTGTGGCTCGATGAGGTCCGGGAGCCATTAGTAAATGCGCCACTGAGACGCCGGGCCCGCCCAAGGGCTGCCCTCCCGCCCGCTCCTTCCGGTCGCTCTCAAGGACCAACCTCTGGGCGCAAGCCTTGACCCCGCGAACCTAGACATCTTTCCTCCACCCGAGCTTACGATGGCCCGGAGCACTTGGCAGCTTCTCAGGCCGTCTCCCCTGCCCGGGCCCGCGACCTTTCCCGTAGCTTACCGAAAGAGTGGAGGTTCTGGATAGCGGACATACGATACGATTCCTTTTCCTCGGTGGAAACGGCCTGCGGAAGGCAGCGGCGGGAGAAGGCGGGCAGGGGGGACGGAGCGTCGGGAAGCGAGGGGGCGGGGCGCGAGGGTGGAGGCTGCTGAGTCCTCGGCGGCGGCTCAGTGACTGGGGCGGAGGGGCGGTGCCTGTATTCACTTATATAGCCGCCCCTGTGACGCCAGCGCGCTGCACCCACGTCCCGGCCCCACCCAAGGCGTCGTGCCCCTAGCGCCCAGGCGCCGCCGCTTCCAATTGGCCCGGGGGCGGGGATGCGGGATGGCGCCTGCGCAGAAACTCGGCACCGAGGGCGTCCTCTCGACTCTGGGAGAGGTGGGACCGGGGAGGGAAAGTTTGGTCCGCGTGAGCGCCTGCGCAGTGCGGGTGGACTGGGCTGCCGAGGGAACTAGCGGAGGTTTCGAGCGCGCCTGCGCACTGCCCTTTGGCACATTCCACCTTCTTGACACTGTTGCAGACCTATCTACTCGAGGAGAGGTTTTTAATGGGGTAGATCGGCGCTCCGAAGAGGGGCTTGAGGATGCTGAGCCTCCTAAACGACAAATTCCCACTGTGTCATACCCACCTACCTACCCACTTGCCTATCCTACTCAGTCACAGGAAGATTTAGGGCTGCACTTTTGATTATTAGCAAAAATATTTAATGGAAACAATAACCTTGACATCGAAGTTATTTGGATTTCTCTCTTTTTAAAATGGGTTAATTTAATCTCAAAAGGCTCATTTAGATTAGATGAACCCAGCTAAGGAAAGACTGCCAGCTCACTAGGTGAGTTGAAGGGAGAGTAACTGGTTTCGGGGACAGCAGAGCGTGTCCTTTATGTCCCACATAAGGTGGAGCAGAGTCTTCCCAGGGTTTAGATGAAATATCCCCCTCAAAACAGTCCGCCTTTCTTGCTTTCTGTTTATCAAAACACTCTCAGTTGCAGGGGTAAAGAGAGTGGTGACAAGAGACTGGGGGCTTTCGACTCAAAGGGCTCCAGGGGCAGGGAGGTGAGATAAAGGGAGTACAGACAGCCAAGTGTGATGTAATGAGGTAGGTGGGGCTGGAGCAGGAACTAGAGGGGCTCACCCCAGCTACTGTTCTAGACTCTCTTTATGCAGATATCGAGAAATCTGGTGGTCCTATAAAACATCTTGATTTAAAAATACTACCAACACATTGAATTTTTGGAAAAGCACTGCACAAGCCCAGCAAAAAAAAAAAAAAAATCTGTGACTTGATGCCCCCAGTAGTTAAGGTCACTGCCCTCCTGGAGTGGAAGGCTGGTGGGAGAGACAATAAACAAGGAATAAGATGATAGCAGGTGGCCTGCTAGTTAAGGTGCTGGATTTCCATGTGGCCCACCACGGTTTGTGTCTCGGACTGGTGGCTTGAAAATCATGCTGGGTACATGTGTGTGTGTGCCCAAAATCTTGGGAGGAAAATGGAGGAGAAGGGACTGTGGTGTGGCCATCGCCCTGTGGGGGGGAGATTTCTCACTTTCCCTCTTTCTGTCTCTGGCGAGTTCCCGTGCCCTATGCAAAAACCAAAAAAAAGAAGAAGAAGAAGAAAAAAAAAAAAGAAAGGATAGTGACAGATTGTGATATGTGCCGAGAAAGAGATAAACAGGGTGCTGTGACAGAATGACAGGGCCAGCCAGGCTCATCCTTCAGTTGGGGTGGTCAGAGATGGCCTCTGAGGAGTGACATACCTGTTGACATTTAGAGGGTATAAGCAGACGGCTGTGGGGCAGGGCAAGAGCCTGCCAGAAAGAAAAACCCAAGTGGAAAAAAACCTGATGTACTTGGTAATTGTGTTTTGATTCTGCATTTACTAACCAAGCTTTTGAATCATAATTTGGCTTCCTTGACATCAGGAAGGGGGAAAACCGTGTTAGAAGTCACAGGCCTGGCTATGTCACCTTATCCCTGAGAAAGTGAGGACCCAACTTGTCAACCTGGGAGCCTTTGTACTCCCAGACATGGCTCTGCTGGAAAGGGTTTAGGGAGAGGGTGTGAGGGAGGCAGGGCCATGCTTGTGTGCACACAATATTTTGTTAACATTAAAATTGCAGGGCTGGCCCCTGTGGCTTTGGATTAGGGAGCTGGAATTCACATGACCAACCGCAGTTTGCATCCCGGCCCAGTGGCTTGAAAAACATGCTGGGGGCCAGCTGGTGGTGTGGTGGTTAAGATGGCTGGATCCCATGTGGTTGACCTCATTGTTCAAGTCTCCAACCCACCAGCCTGAAAAACATGCCAGGTATGTGCGGGTTCATGCCCCAGATCCCAAGAGGAGAGTGGAGGAAAAGAGATTGTAACATGTCCATTCCTCCTAGGGATGCTTTTTCACTTTCTCTATGTCTCTGTCCAGTGAACACACACACCCCATAACAAATTTTTAAAAGGGGGGGAAAAAAAGCCATGCTGGGGATGTGTACGTATGTGTCCAGTATCCTGACAGGCTAGAGAAACGCAGAAGGGATTGTGGCATGACTATGCCCTATTATGGGTGTTCCGTCTCTCTTTGTCTGTCTCTGGAAAGCACACACACTCTCTGGCAAGTTAAAAAAAATTAACATTACTGTGTGTGTGTGTTGTATGTTTTAGAGAAATTTTTGATACAGGGCATGTGCGCTTGTCAGATAGAAAGTGAGAAATCACTCCCCAGGGGGATGGCCAAGCTGCAGTCCCTTCTCCATTCTTCTCTCGCGATCTTCAAGTCGCTGAGTCTGGGACTCAAACTGCAGTGGACTACGTGGGAGTACAGCAACATAACCATTATACCATCTGCTGGTCCCACAATGTGTTCTAATTTATCATATATTTCCTTTTAGGAAATAATCTTTTCTGTATCTTTTATTTATTAAAATGCTATAAGGTGCATGTGCATATGAGAGAGAGAGAGAACCCCCCATAGGTTCCTGGTCACACTGTGATCCTCCATCTTGTCATGATCTTGGTGCCGCATATATTCCCATGCACTAGGACTGGGGTTCAAACCCCTGGTCGACCATGTGAGAGCTGGCCTCCTCTCTACATAGCTTGACTGCTGGGCTATGGGCCAGCCCTTGTTCATGTATTAAAAGAAATCTTTTGCCTGCCCAGAGTTTATCAAGATATTCTGCACATCTTTTTAGTTATTTTTTAGGTTTTTAATCATAGGTAACGTGTGCTCGCCAGAGAGAGGCAGTGAGAGGGAAGGTGAGAAATCACACCCTCAGGGAGATGGCCACATTATAGTCCCTTCTCCTCCAGTGTCTTCTCAGGATTTTGGGCACGCACACACATGTACCTGGCATGATTTTCAAGCTGCTGGGTCCAGGACCCCAACCATATTGGGCTATGAGGGAGTCCGGCACCTTACTCACCACACCACCTGCCGGTGCACGTATTCTCTTTTGAAAGTCTTGAAACTTTGCTTTTCATGTTGAAGTCTCTGAACTACCTCGAGCTTATTCTAGTGTGTGATGTGACACAGAGGTAAAAAATGTTTCCTATATGGATAGACAGTGGTCCCAGCACTATTTATTGAATAATACATCCTTCCCTCACAGTTTTGCCATGCCTTTCTATCAAAATTGTGTCTCCTGGGGCCAGCAGATGGCATAGCGGTTACATCGCTGGACTCCCACATGGCCAGCAACGGTTTGAGTCCCAGAGCTGCTGGCTTGAAACTCACACTGGGCACGTGTGCGTGCATGCCCAAGATCATGGGAGGAGAATGGAGGAGAAGGGATTGTGGTGTGACCACCCCCCTGGGGGGGGATTTCTTACTCTCTCTCTCACTGTCTCGTCTCTCTCTCTCTCTCTCTCACTCTCACTCTGGCAAGTGCATGCACCCCAAGGCAAAAATCCCCCCCCCCGCCAAAAAAAGAAGTGACTCCAAATACACGTGGGTTGGTTTCTGGAGTCTCTGTTCTGTTCCGTTGGTTTATTTGTCCTTGAGCTACACTCCGCTGTTATAGGAGCTTTACGCAAAGTCTTGACGTTATTGGCTACCCTTGGTCCTAGTCCCTTCTTCAGCCTTGTGGCGTGTCACAGCTCCCACATCCTATGCCCCAGTAGTTCTGTGAAGCACCTGGATTTTCTTATTTCAGGGTGATGGTGTAAGCTCCTGCCTCGGCTTGGAGTGTCCTTCCTTCCTCCTCATTCGGTGTCTCCCACTCTCCGTCAGGGCTCAGCTGGGATTATCCGTTCTGAGAGGGCTGAGCTTGGAGCCATTCCCTGTGCCCCCACCCCCGGGTCATATTCTGTCATTCATCACTTTGCCTTTTGCTTATCTGTGCCCTGGACTGGCTCTGCGATTTGCTAGGTCCGGTACGAAATGAAAATGTGAGGACCTTTGTTCAAAACCAGTGAAGAATTTCAAGACAGTGATAGCAGGGCATTAACCCAAGCCCCTGAGTGCGGGGCGCTGTGTGGGCTGCACAGGTCACGTGCCCTCGACTCTGACCTGTCTCTTGCGTGTCTCCCTTGCTGGGCTGGACGCTCAGGGTCATGCCGATCTCTGCTCCGTACACGAGGTAGGTGAGTGGACATGTGGACACACATTGTGGGTGCTCGGTTTCTAGGATGGCCAACCCCGTCTCCACACTGTCACCTGTGTCACCTCCTGGAGCAGTGAGTTGAGAAAAACACCTTTAGACATCTGATCCTTGGCTCCAGAGAGAGCTGCTGGACCCGGCCTCCTGGCATGGGGCAGAGAGGGCTGGCCTTCGCTAAGCCACACTGCCCAGCTCCTCTTGCAGGGACCTGGCTAGCCGGGGCTGCTACCTGTGCCTGGCGCCCAGCTCATGCCAGACCTGACCTCACTGCACTGTAAACAGGGACTGCCCTCCCCCTACACTTTGCCCTGGGTAGGATGCAGGTGAGAGGGCAGGTCTGTGGCAGGTGACAGTGAAAGGGGAGACCTGGTTCTCCCCTTGCCACCAGCCTTCTGGGTGACCTGGTTCACCTCCCAGGGCTTCAGTTTGATACCCCCTAAAAGAAGGGCTGGGTGATTTCTCCTCAGGTCTGAAGTCCAAAGCTCTGCGCTCCTAGGTTGGGAGCCTTTTCTAGAAGGGGCTGCTGGTGTCCACTCTTCCATGTGGGAGCTTGT